TCATTTGTTCATATTATTACCGTATTTCATTCGACTCTCTTTTTCTGTCATCTCTCTCTCTCTCTGCCTGTGCTCTTAATTTATTCTTGTTTAAAGGAGAAAAAAAAAGGAAGCATTTTATAATGTAATATTCCGAATTCTTATTATTTTGTGCGTTTGTGAAAAACAGCATTCGCTGTTATTTATACCCCTCTCCCTGTTTACTATACATATTATTATTGTTTCTGTCCAAGCGTTTTAATAAATGGGCTATCTGCATTTGCGTTATCCCATATGTGTATGACGCATTACAGTAAATTACTAAAACAGGCAGTCGCTGCACCATCGCAGAATGCCGCAGTTTCCTGAATGGACAGGAAAGACAAATCAAGCGAAAGAACTGCAGAACACAGACGACGACAAAATTTCCTAGAAAGCGTTATTTCACGTAATATATCAAATAATGATTCATGGTTCTTTGTTAGAAATGGCGCAAGGAACAATTGCGCCGCTATGATGCATTACCCCGTCCCTGGTTGAAACTTTGGACACCCTACCCTGTTGAAGTTCTGCAGTCATTAATCCCTGACCCGTGGAGTATAAAAGCACTCCTCTCTATCTCCGGGATCCAGAGCCATTTCCAGCTACTCGAGAAAGCTACTCCTTTCGACTTACCCCCAGAACCTCACCACCCTTTTTGTACCGTCTTATTTTGTTTTACGTTATACTACCTTAGTGCATGTGACTATAAGTACATATACATATAGCTGGGTGTTTCCCACACACACATACGCACAGAACACGCCACTAGTCTAGCAAGTAAATCTTTAGGGTCGTGATAGTTAAAATTTGGAAAGATGGAATTGTGACCGCCAGACCTGGCATGCAGCTGTTAAAAAAAGTAGTATATTTGAGAGAATGAACTTCTTTCCTAAACCAGGAACTAGGCATGAAATTTTATTCACGTAAACGCAAGTTGACTACGGGGACAAGTGCGCATTTTGAAGTGCACCTGTGGTGATTTTTTTTCCTAACGGATAAAATGCAGGTGGTTGCTCAAGTAGCTTCTGCCTGACTTGGACACACTCCTAATTTTGCTATGTTCAAGTTGACATAGTAGGTCTCTTGAGAAGCGGAACTTTGTCTCCAGATGGATAACTTCCCTCAATTAAGTCTAAAGCATTACAAAACGCAAGCCGGTTTTTGCCTTCTACAAATGGGTGTTTCTCTTGCATGAGCTAATTCAAAGCCTCACTATGTTTTCTGGTACCTTGAATTGGCGTCTTTTAGTAAAGTATTTGTTATTGGATCTTTCTACACCTGGCCAATGATCGATGACTCCCCGTTAGTAAGGAATGCCGCTGCTTTTAGATGGGTTTAGAATGGTTTTTTTTTTTCTGTTTTTAGATGGGTTTTTTTTAGATGGTTTTTTTTTTTTTTTAGAATGTTCTCATATGCAGATGCAGCTCCGTCCTTATGCAAATCCCTATTAGACTTTTGTTTCTCCAGTGCCAACTCACAACCAGAAAAATCAGTTATTTATTGTCCTTTTAGCAATGAAAACATATTTGCCACTACGAATTACTTCAAGGATATGATCCGGAAATGCGATCCTCATCTTCTCGATTTTCCCGACAATCTGCGCAAGAGGTTCGCCAACGTGCAACATTTTCAATACATTCATTGCCAGTGATTCTTCATTCTCCAGCTCGCCATCTGACTGCAATTCTGCACTAATTCAAGAGAGCTTTCCGAGTATCTTTTGTAAGATAACACGTACCGTCTGGCGGATAATGGATTGCCACGAGCTAAGGATTTTATTCTAACTCTGGTACCTCTGCTGCCATCAGCTTACGCCTAAATTGGATGTTGCAAAAAAATCAATGGTCCTAAAGGTAACACTTAAAAGGTGGTACCGTCGATAACCCCAACTGGCTGTTGACGCGCTTGCGTGCTGGCTGTTATTTGCGCTATTTTTAAATACCTCAACCCCTCCCTCATGTAGAGTAAAATGCAAAGGAAGAATTTTGGCTCTGGCAAAAGTACATTGGTGTTGTTCTGTAAGCAACAGCATCCATCTTTTCTCAGCAAGTTGCTACGTATTTCATCTCACCAATTTTTTCAAAAAAAAGAAAGAAACAGGAATCTCAGTCGCCTGCGCTTTTCATTGAAAAAGTTAAATAACTGGCCAAATTTCAGCTTTCTAGCTTCCCTGGCTCCTGAGTTAGCAACTTACTCAAAAAAAAAACTTTCACGGGCCCGTACGTGGGTACCACGCATGCTCGACGCCTGGGTTTGAGCTTGTTGAGACTTACATGGGCAGGGAACGTCTCTGTAAAATTTCAGCTTTCCAGCTTTATTGATCCCCGAGTTAGCGACTTACCCGCGAAAAACTTTCACGGACCCATACGTGGGTGCCACGCAGGTAAGAGCGCCCATTCCGGAGATGGGGGCCCGCACACGCATACAGATTACGCTCCCCAAGTTCCAGCCCCGTAGCTTTTGTGGGTCTTGAGATGAAAAATCGGTACAGACGCGCAGCGCACACACAGACACACACACAAACACACACGCACACACACACACAGACAACCTCTCGTTAATATGCGTTTTCTGCATTGCATCGCTGCAAAAAGCGCATAAAAACTGTTTTTCAGTTCTTACAGATTTTACAAGGTTCGAAAACATCAGAAAAATACGTCTCATACTTTCCCGTCCTCTTCCTCCCTCTCATCATCCTAGTAAAAAACAGCTGCACATTAATGATGTCGAGAATGATAATCTAGAAATTTTGGCTGATATTCGCAAAAACGTTACAAGCAAACTTTTCAAAATGTCTAAGCATTTGTAAAACGCGGAATTTTTTATGCAAAAATGCAAAATGTATGCTCTACAATGTGGAACAAGAAACGCCGAGAAGCAAAGTAGGGATGGGTTCCATCACCCTCAAACGGACTTGCGTAATCTCGTTCTGCACAAGGGCGTATCCCAGAAGCATCACTATCACGGAATCTCAGAAGTCCCGAAATATGCAAAACATGCCGGATTTTATTAATAAAAATGTATGATTGTTGCTCGATAAAATACCTTAATTACAGAACCATCGGAGATAACAATGGAGCCTTTCAGGCCTGAAATCTGACTCAAGAACGAGAAATTCCCATCCATCTTTTATTGCCAGAGAAGCCAGCACTGCTCGCTGTCATACGTGCAAGAAGAAGCTGTCTGAAATGAATTTAAATTCTTTCCATCACCAGCACTTTCCCCTTCAAATTCCCAGTCGCGCGCCGAACTTGCTTCTTGCAGCTGCTCTAAATCAGTTTCTGTGCGCACAATGCATGCCACGTTTGTACGATGAGCGCTAGGAGTTGGCATTTTTTTTTTTTTTTTTTTCCTAGAACTGCTACAGCATTTTCTGCAACTCTCCCTGGCCCTGATGCAAAATAAATAGCAACGTGCACCAGACTAGCTGGTGCGATCATGCGTTTTGTGCAATTCAGCCCATCGAACGATTGCCTATTAATGATTTTCACTGCTTTGTATACTTTAGTTTATGAAAAAATAGTTCAAAAATTGGAAAATAGTTAAAAATTTCACGCACCAGCGCATGAAAGCTGAATTCGAGCCTTAGGATGCCTTCCCGTGATTTCCCAGTTAATAGTTTAGCCGACAAAATTCTCACGAGGCCGTAGGTGATACTCAACAGCGACGGAAAGCTGGATTTGAATAGGCAAGGCTGAGCGTGGACAGGGAGTCATTACTCTGAAACTTCGGCCTCCTAGACTCCGTGGTTCCCGAAATAATTTGCCCGCAAAAAAATTTCACAGGGCCGTACGAGTTACCCGTGGGTACGGGAAGGCTGAATTTAAATTTGCCGCGTCACCCGTTGGCGGGGAA